AAACCATCACTTCCATCCCCTTAAGTGATTCCTGTAGTTCGTTTGCTCCGCCATGTCCTACTTACTCCTTGGCTTATTTCCTCCTTCCCATCAGTGAGACGGTGGCAACAAAAAGTCGATAAGCCTCGGGCTTTCCGAGGGCGGCCTTTGACGTGAGCCGACACAATTTTTATGCAGATTTTGCCTACAATTGTGTGTCGAGTTTTGCTATCAGGGTATACTTAATCAGTGTGGTTCTCCATGATATTGCCTGCTTCATTTTTGATATTCCGATGACAGTCTGCATTTCAAACTACACTATTGAAGTTTCTTGCTTCGTGCCCTCAAAACCTCTGATAACATTCTGTTGACCGATAGTATTGCCAGCAAAGTCCAGGGAGGCTGGAGTAGTTATTTCTGACTTATTAGCCGTCGTCAGCCAGTAATACCCAATCCTAAGTGGTGCCTAGTTGCGTCTATGGTGGTGCCAACCTTTATTTGGCCGTTGAACGGTTGGAATAGCATCAACGGTTTCGATTTCACCATTATGCACGCATACACATGTCGCAGACGCCTTACTTTTGGAATTAGGGACTTCACCAGTCGATTAGGCTGCTAAATTTTTGCACGATGCTGTCCTGCTTGCGGATTCACGTGCACGACTTGGCGCGGGTGAACTGAACAGGGACCACCGTCTGAGTAAATCAGAGGTTAACCACTCGGACTCGTTGCTACATTAGAAAAAGGTTACCATGCCATACTCTCAGGTATCATGAGCTACAACCGACTAAATTGGAAACGCTTGAAGGAAGGATTATGCATCGCATAGGGTCTGTGATTTGGATCAGCACTATAACTTAAAGGTAGTCCTTTGAGACAGCACATTGCGACTTATGGGTTTTCTTTTCAATGCCTAGCGTTCAAGTAACTTGCACCTTTGTTCAGCATACTATCGAAGTTTGCGTATGAAGTGATTTGATATTCACGTTTGCTCTTATTTAATTCCATTCTGGGGATAAATGTAATATCATTTTTTTGGTTTTCGCCATAGGTAAATGTTTTAAATACGTTTACTCGTTTCATACGAACAAGCCGCCCCGTTCTGGCGTCATTTCCGCTAACCAAAGCATTATTGCGTTGTAGGGACCTTGTATTACTGTTACAAGTTTTTCCTTTTACAGTTATAATTTCCGCGCTCCCTTGAATATGCAGGCTTACCCGTTTCATAATTCGTCCTTTTCGCTCACTGTATTTGTAGATTTATCCGTCAATCAGACAATCCTTTAGGCAAAAAATATTGCCATTTATGCAGTATAGCCTTGTTAATGTTTTTATGAAGGTTGCAGGACTTGAAAGCTCGAAATGCCGCAAAAATTATCATCCCTGGTAATAAAGAACCACCCGTAATTCTTTGGAAATAAGCCCACTAATTTATTATATTTCCGTATGACCTCGATGATTTTGACTGCTCTATTCTTTACGGGTGCATAAACAACGCACTGCTCATAGCTGTGCTTGTCTACTACCACCATGTGCTACAGTGCAACTTCGAGAGCCGGTTTTACTAAGCATGTCACTTCAAATGCACCATCGTTATACAGAAAATCTGGATAACAGTCGCCTGAAAAAAGGACGTTCTTCATCTCCAGTGCTAAAGGATCCGATCAAAAATTGCGCCTGCGCGTCTCCAGTTGACATTCTCGATGCTCCCTCTCAGCAAAGGCTGAGTTTGGGCTAGATGACTTCCCGGAAAATAGGCAAAACACATGATTGAACGGTCTTAGTTAGCGAGGGGGGTCCAGTCGATGTGTTATTTTCCCGACCGAGTCATTCGTAGAGAGGGATCTTCTTAACGGACGCCTAATCTGCTCGCAGTCTGGTCTACCGACGGAATGCACATCAAAGTTGGGGTTTCGCCGAAGCAGATCGGATGGCCACGAGTGGCCTCAGAAATTAACTAATTTAGTCAGGATCCGTAATACCCTGACCACAATTGGATGTGTCATGGGGT